TATATATATATATATTATATATATATATATTATATATATATATATATATATATATACACATGTATATATATATACACACACACACACTCAGGGAGAGTGACCTAGTAGCGATCAGTGAAGAGGCGGGGCCAGGAGCTCAGACTCGACCCCCGCAACCTCAACTAGGTGAGTACAACTAGGTGAGTACACACACACACACACACACAAATACACAAACATAACATATATACATACATACTCAGATGAGGATCAGGCAGGACTTCAAAGAGACCTGGACAGACAGGGAAGGGCACAGAAGACCGCAGACAGAGTATAGGCTAGGTGGCCAAAGACTGCAAACCTCGCTCAAGGAGAAAGATCTTGGGGTGAGTATAACACGAGCATGTCTCCGGAAGCACACATCAACCAGATAACTGCTGCAGCATATGGGGGCCTGGCAAACCTGAGAACAGTGTTCCGATACCTTAGTAAGGTATCGTTCAAGACACTGTACACCATGTACGTCAGCCCCATACTGGAGTATGCAGCACCTGTTTGGAACCCGCACTTGATCAAGCACTTCAAGAAATTAAAGAAAGTGCAAAGGTTTGTGACAAGGTTAGTTCCAGAGCTAAGGGGAATGTCCTATGAAGAAAGGTTAAGGGAAATCGGCCTGACGGCACTGGAGGACAGGAGGGTCAGGGAAGACATGATAACGACATATAAAATACTGCGCAGAATAGACAAGGTGGACAAAGACAGGATGTTCCAGGGAGGGGACACAGAAACAAGAGGTCACAATTGGAAGTTGAAAAGTCAGATGAGTCAAAGGATGTTAGAAAGTATTTCTTCAGTCATAGAGTTGTCAGGCAGTGGAACAGCCTAGAAAGTGACGTAGTGGAGGCGGGAACCACACACAGTTTTCAGACGAGGTTTGATAAAGCTCATGGAGCAGGGAGAGAGAGGACCCAGTAGCAACCAGTGAAGAGGCGGGACCAGGAGCTAAGACTCGACCCCTGCACCCACATATAGGTGAGTACACACACACACAGATACATACATACGATAAAGCTCTTGGAGCAGGAAGAGAGTGAACCTAGTAACGACCAGTGAAGAGGTGGGGCCAGGAGCTATGATTGAACCTCTACAACCACAAATAGGTGAGTATACAGTAGACTGTTGATTAAGAAGTGATCTGTAGTGTTTTCCATATACAGTTATTACAAAATTGTAGCATATTTTTGATCATTGCATTGTGAAATTCATCTATGATGGTGCCACTTTAGGGAAAAAATAGCTAAAAGCCCATACAAGAAGGTCAGTTACTGCTAATTTCACTGTAACTGCACATTGCTGTGCCATTAATGGTCATTCACTCACTCTAGCTGTATTTACACAAGTGTTGAATGTATTAGTGATTGATATTAAATTGTGGAAAGTACAGTAAATGAAAAGTGAAGGGATAATCTTGTGGCACTGCCATATGAGGATGCTGGAGACAATTTTTATATGCAAATTGATAGGGTTGACATGAACTGTAGTCCGTGTCCAATCACTTACTTTTCTGCTGTACTCGCCACGTGCAGGTAGCAGAAACTCTACCACTAGTCTCCCTGTGATGCTTGTTGGAAGGGAAACCCATACCCTCAAGAAATCCATATTCATCAAAAGACTAGACAAGATCATCGCAGCTCTCTCCATCGATGACCTAAGTACAGTGGACCCCCGCTTAACGATCATCTCCCAATGCAACTAATTATGTAAGTGTATTTATGTAAGTGCATTTGTACGTGTATGTTTGGGGGTCTGAAATGGACTAACCTACTTCACAATATTCCTTATGGGAACAAATTCGGTCAGTACTGGCACCTGAACATACTTCTGGAATGAAAAAATATCGTTAACCGGGGGTCCACTGTACTACCTAAGCTCTCCCTGATGGTCTGGCTATATCTAATTACTATATTCATCCAAGAAACATTGAACCGGAGGGATACCAGCACATCACACCTTGTTGGAACTGATATTCTTACAACCATCTATCCAAGGACTGCCCAATTAAGGACAGGAAATTCTGCTTGGAATGCAGAAGTGAAGGCCACAATTTCAAGTCTTGCACCATCACTAATACTCCAATATGCCTGAGCTCTTGCAACAAAATGCCCTCTGAGGAAAGAAACAGTTGCAAAGAAAAACAGAAACACCAAGAAGATGACCTTCAAAAAATCTCCAATTTATGCCGCTATCACTAAGCTCGGCCAACACTACTAATATTCTTCAAGCCACTCAGCAGGCACCCATCACCACCACTAATTCCCTTTCTCCACTTCCAGACAGCACTCCATCTAAAGTTCTTTACTGTATCGTGGGTTGATTGCCAATACAACGAACCCAGGATCCCAGATTCTTTGCATAGTGTACAATGTCCCAAACATTGTTAACTTCACTGCACCAGCTGACCTGACACTTTTTCTCTGTCCACTCTACTGCTTGATGAACTCCAACTGCCATCAAACATTCTACAGCCAAAACGAATGCATCTATACAATCATCCATTACCTCCAACATTACTTCACATGCACAGCCAGCTGCCAAACTACCAACCACTCTCTACCCTGCTCCTACCCAGCCATAGATATTAATCTCAAGGCCTCCCAACCTACTCCTGCTACACAACCAGCCAAAACCAACGAAATTCAGCCTATAGAATCATCTGAGGAAGAAGGGGTTGACATCTTCAAAAGGGGACTGGATGGATGGTCGGACTGGAATGAGACAACCACATCTTCTACACCCTTCCATGCAGTGACAACTACAGTGAAGAGAAAATCTGAATATTATTTTTAGTTTGCTGAATTACAAAGCTTTAAAAAACTTGGTTGGCTTTTTTAGGGGGGTTTAATGAATGTAACCTTAATTTTCCCATATGTTCTTCTGGGGCCTAGAGCAGCTGTATAAAGTACTGCAGGGTAAAAGAGAGCCTCAACCATCCACCTCAGCAAACATTCCACAATCTTCCACCTCAGCCCAGTAGGGCCGCAGCATCCTTCTCCACTCTGTTCAGAATCATTAACATACACCAGCAAATACAATTTAAGGTAAGAAATATTATTTCTGGAACATTTATAGCCTTAAGAAATGCAATAAACATAAAACTTGACGACAACCAACTACAATTACATTATCATTTTTATTTTTTTACAATTAGGAGACACCCAAAAGTACAAAGAACATAACTCTAATTTTCCAATATAATCTTCGGTTTGTCTGGACGCCATTTTCAAGAACATACTACAATCACTGTTGACAGTCAACTATGTACTCGCCTATAAGTGGTTGTATGTGTGTGTGCTATATATATATATTTATTTATTTAGTGACTTAATTTTAAGCACTTCCCAGAGGTGACGACTCGCATCATCTCAGCCATCACACAGGCACAAGGCTTCGTTTGTGGCCTAACCCTCCCCTTCCTTGAATCAAACCCAACTGTCTTCCCCCATTCCTCCTCCCCCCCTTTATGCATTGTGTGACCCTTCTGGATTTAGAGCTTTCCCCTGATAAGACAATAATAAGCTAGCATGACTCGTGAGAGCTTCCTCGAGTCATACAGTTACACGAGACACACTGCTTAAGCTACCCTTCAAGAACTGTGCCTGGTAAGGGTCTTGATGTGAGGAATTGGAGCTAACTCCTCTTCCTTGGATTAAGTTCCATTGCTTTGCATTCCATACTAACTGAATCCTATGGATTTAGTGGTTCAACAAAAGAATTAATAACTCGGGTCAGATTTGTCTAGGTGTTAGACAACAAAAATTAGAATTTAATATTTTGATCATGTTTAGAGCTATCTAACTGAGCAATGCTAACAGCTTCTAACAACCATAGTAAAGTTAGGAAATATAGATGAGAATCTCACTATGCTATGTAAGTAACATTATATAAGGTGTACTGGGGATCAAACTTTCTCAATGGAGATGTCTTGATGCCAGTGAGGAAGCTGGATAAATCCTCTCCTTCCCTACATAGAACACCTCAGTGCCACACAGCTGCTGACTGCTACGACTTTGGTGCTTCCCAATCATTAAAATTAACGGTGATCTATGGAGTGGTGTTGTTGATGGAAGGTTTGATCCTCGGTAACACCCGAGTTGCTGTACACACACACTTCTGTACCACCAGGATACTCTTTAATTATTATTATACATGTAATAATTAAGACTTGTTAGTCTTTTGTAAAGGGGCGGCTTCAAAATTCTTATATATGTCTCGTGTTACACGTGTGTGTCCAGCACTCAACTCACAGCCATAATCCAGCTATTAGCGAAGTTTATTTACTATGCTACGAATATCACATGGGTCATATAGTCATTGCAACACTCAAACTTCCGTAAGTTATTTACAATACTCATACAATGTGCAACAGTTAGTTTACTGCACAGTACTCTTCCAGAGGTGCCAGAGGTCATTTATTATGCAACACTAATTACAGACCTCAGTTATCACAATTGTCTTAGGTCCCAGATCATGCCAGGTAATGGATCAAGTGTTGCCTTCAACATTAATGATAGAAGAAAAGTCACAGTACCGTCAGTGATACAATTTACAACTAACACATAATTTAGAGAGAAAACATTAGACGATGTTTGGGTCCCTCCTGGAGAATTGTCGAGTTGCAACCTCCTAAGGTGCCGTTATGCCAGTGAAGGTCCTTGATACGCGGCATGGGAGCTATCCTTCTATTCCTTGAATCAACCCTAATTATATCCCATGCATCTAGGGACCATGTGACTCCTGTGGGGTCAGCATCACCCACTGTAACTCCCTATTGCGTCCATTTAGCTATGTGAAATTGCTGTAAAATACTATTTTTTTGAGCTGTAACATTGCCCAGTGGGGTCTGGTTAAGACCCTTGTGACCTTTGTAATCCTTTTTTTTTTTTTTTTTTGCAATACCGCTCACAGGATGAGCATAGGAAGGACAACAAACTAGCCGCTCAAGGAGCACAACTAAAACTCACTTGATTATAATTGAGTTATGATCGTTGTGGAAGACTTATAACCTCGTCTAAGGTTTTCTTCACAAGTTGTGTTGGGTGAGAATTACTGTCATAGCTTCTTGTGGGTGTTGGGCTGCTACAATAATAAATAAACTGTACAGAGACGTAAAGAAGCAATATTTAAGGGTACTCTCCCCAGCGGAGTCTAGTGGCGAGATTCCTTCAAGGGAGGTTGGTGCCTTAATGCTGGTGAGGGGCTCTTGATGCAAGGATTTGGAGGTACTCTCCTTTTCCTCATATAAAATCTAATTGCCCCCTTGTTTCCCAGGCACTGTATGACCCTTATGGGCTCAGCGCTTCCCCGTTAATTTAATAATAGTGGCGAAGTTGGAAGGAACGGCAGGGTGCTGATAACTCTGTACTGGCCTTGTGTTATGGTGCTCCCCGCTGACCTTCAACACATCTACGCTCATCATTAGTTCTTAAGAGTCTTAGCGAGAAGGATGGTGGTGTTCCCTAAGGTACTGACGGGTTAAGAAAGGGTGCCACCCGTCCCAGGCCAAACGGAGAGGTGGGCAGGGATGTATTGTAGGTTCGGGTCTGCAGCAGGGAGTACGCTAAGTAGGGAAGACTGACGGGGTCCCACTCCACGCTGTGGCGAAAAGTGGGGTGTCGGAGTGGTGTCAGGGGCTGTGGGCGCAGTGGCTGCTGCTGGTGGTGGTGGTGGTGGTGGTGTTGCTGTTGCTGCTGCTGCTGCTGCTGTGGTAGTGGTATGAGTGCTGGTGGAGATCTCATCCTTACATCCTGACTATTGGTGACCATTCTGCGGTAGCCAACATGCTGGAGGTCGTCAGAGACACGGTTCATATCCGTCTCCATGGGGTTGGTGCCCCAGAAGCGGTGGCTGTAACGCAAGTCTTCATTAGTGAAGGTGAAGCGGGTCTTCTTGGAAGGAGCTGTGAGGCTGGAGTCAGCCAGAGCTGGAGCGTGGAGAGCATAGGGAGCGTTGTGGCAGGTGACCAGCTCCATCCTACCCACTGTATCATAGGTACATATGCTCTCACCTCCCATCATTGCATCCTCTCTCGCAAGAAGATTGTTATTACCTCTCATGAAATCCAAGTTCCTGAAGAGACTGTCTCTCTGAAGACCCTAGGGTTTCTACCATCTATCTCTTCCTGGTCCCTCTTGAGGTTTCTCCATGTGGCTGCGGTTGCGGTAGAACTGCCCAGGGGACACTGGAAGCCGGAGGCTTGTAGTGGTGGTGCAGCATCACAGTGTAGTGGCACTGGACCAAGAGGAATAGGATTCCTGGGTTCAGGCAAAACTGGTCTATGTAGACACTGCCGTGGTGGACTGTTCTCCATCACTTCCTGTAGAAGAAAAAATCAGCTGCATAAACAAAAGTTTGATGCAGAAAGTTCAATAAAACGATGTGCATCAGATAATGTCTCTTCAGAATAAAGTCAGAAATGCATTGTATACCAGTGCCTTTTTTTGTGCGTACCAATGTTTTATTACATATGAACTACATTATTTGAACTCAGTTGAACAAATGAAATTGCTGGTCCACAGATGTTTCATAATAAGAAAAAAGCTTTCAAATGAGCTGAGGTAACAGCTCTTAGGTTGTTAATAAAGGTAAGAACTCTTAACCTAACCCTATGCTGCATAGCCCTTGTGGTTTAGCGCTTCTTTTTTATTATAATAATAAAAAAAATAACCTTGTGAAAACAGAAAGAATGATGTCCTATTCACCTGATGTTGCATGACCCCGAGGGGTTTAGCGGTTCCCTATGAACACCTGAGTATCATTGCTGAGAGACATTGTGCTGGTCTAGAAAGTTATGTAATCAAATACAGGGAAACGATGATAGAAACTTTTATTGTGGAGCCATTTGAAGAAACTGAGACATAACAGTTGCAGGCTGTAAATGAACTGAAGTAACTACAGTGTCACTTAGCCTTAATACCATAAACTGTAAGGATTTAATGTTAAGAAATAATCTAAGTCTGCTCGAAATGCCTAGCCATGCTAGGTTTCCTAGTGGTCCCCTTTGGAAATTTATTTGGTCCCTAAAGTTCCACAGGACAGATCCAGGATGGCCGTACGGGACGGCTGAGCTGGATGGCCCTTATACCCCACCCTAACAAACAGCATTCTCTCTGGTCGGCGATGGATTCTTGGTAGGCATGTATTTAATTTATAGATTTATTCTTCAGGGAAGGAGTAGGTAGTTTTACTGTTAGTATATTAATATTAGTTTACTAAGGTATCTGTAGATAATAATGTAGACCTAAGACCTTAACATAGGTAGTAATAGGCCGATAATGTAGGCAAACACTAGGTTAAGTTAGCTAGGGAGAACTGGCAGCCCTAGCTTGAATGAGGAGGCGCGGGTCTAAAAGACAATAGCGTCCCTCTTAAGACAGACACCATCTGGACAATACGTGCCGTGATCAGCAGACGGCGCCCCCACGTGTCTTCACATCTGAGACCTGGGGAAATCTGGTAGAGGCACCTCGATGTACCATAGATGACCTCCTCCGTCAGGCCCATACAGTAAGACAAGACCACTATTTCTCGTAGAATTCTGGCCAGTGTCTGGAGAGTTTGTGAGTTGAGTTTTGACTGTGGGCCCGGTTGCAACAGGTTGAGCATGCCCAGTAAGTACCAGTGTCTCAGAGCAGTCTGGAAGCTAGTGTCTGAGTCTGCATAGTTATACTAGGGGATACATACCCTCTTGGATACAGGAATTTCTGAGGTGCAGGGCAGGACACTATTCGATGAATATTGCAGGAATTAAGTCGTTGCAGTGATTTTAGGGCTCCAAGGTGCACGTAGTTTCTGAGGGAAGTCAAATGGCTAACACTAAGCTTAAGATAGTGAAGATTCTGAAATATTGTGAATCTGCATACACCTGAAGTAACTTCAGTACTCTTATACGTGTTGCAGGCGAGGTTTTCTTGACACCAAAAATTTCATTGTGAATAGATCTGTCTATAAGCCACTATGAGCAACTGGTAACCCACTCGTAACCCTTGGATCAACTGAAGATTGCAGGTAGGGACTCACTTGGAGTCAGCCACACAAATTTCACTACAGCCTCCTATAATGGTATAGTTTTAACTACATGTAACACACAATACCTAACACTGTAAACCCCACATTGTAACCCTTAGAGAATAAACTTGAATTGAATTGAATTACACTGGTAACTACAGTGTTCCTACACTTACACTGTTAACTACAGTGTTCCTACACTTACACTGGTAACTACAGTGTTCCTACACTTACACTGGTAACTACAGTGTTCCTACACTTACACTGGTAACTACAGTGTTCCTACACTTACACTGGTAACTACAGTGTTCCTACACTTACATCTATCTATAACAGTGGATATTCATTCGAAATGTACTTCATTAAATCAATTTCTAACTTCTTCTGATTATAATAATTAACTCTCTTACTGTCTAATTTAAAACAAACGAGTATGACTTAATAACACAAGACAGGATTATTATTATTATTATTATTATTATCAAAAAGAAGCGCTGAACCTACACGGGTCATGTAGCCCAGTAAGCTAAGAGGAATCATACAGCGCCTGGGGTAGGGAATATACCTGGAGGGGTTTTCAAGGTCAACCAACATGCAAACTATAACAGTGCAAAATATTATATTGCCAGGAAGCTGCAAAGAATTACAAAAACAATGTTATCGTGCATAATATTCTATAATACACTTAAGTTTGAAGCCACTCTGAAATTGCATTATCAAGTTATTTTGGCTTGAAGGTTTGAAGCCAACCGGTTGATGAAATCACTAATTATCACAGCTCGTATTTCAGTTTTCAGTTTTTTTTCGGTAAAAATGGCAATCTTGGTGGACACAACACAGGCCAAAATCAATCCAAACTTTTGTCCAAGAGTGACCAGCGATTAAGATTTAGTAACTTTTATTTAGGCTTTGGATACGTAACATACAAACTGATCAAAATGGTCTTGAAGGCGCACATATGTGACCTAAAATTACATATGTAGATTTAAGTTAAGATGATCCAGTAAAGTCCAACACTGACGTCTGATCACCAGAGACATTTTCCAATTTTTTCATGGACGCCAACTTGTTGAGCAAAATAAAGACGAAGATTCGTTCGAGAAAAACACATGAGTAAAAGATTAAGGGATTCAATGGTTTCTCATTAAGTTAGAAAAGTTTCATCTACTTAATAACAAAAATCACCCATGAAAGACTGTATCTACCAAGAAGAAACATATTGTATTTAGAAATTAAAACTGGCAAAGTAGAGCCTACACACCCGTGACAATGTTTACATTCTTCCAGGTAGGTCACTCTAATGTTTAACCAGTGCTGTATAGCCCTTGTGGTTTAGCGCTTCTTTTTTATTATAATAATAATCTAGTGTTTAACAGTTGATGCAGACTAGAGGAGGCTTTCTAATGCAAATTTAAATAAATGTAAACAGATAATAATTGTGTATAAAAATGTGACACTGATATGACCCTTCAAGAAATTTCAGGTGACTGAGGGTGTGCAGCGGCCGCGGAGTGATACACAGGGGACGCCATAATTAATGTGAATTATGGTTTGTGCTAATGGTGAAGTTTAATTCGGCGTCATCGAGGCCATAATTGAGTGGCTCGGCCTGAATTTGTAATTGGAACCTTCATTAATGCCCCCCGCTGAAGAATAGGGAAAGAAAATTTACGGAAACTCCATATTAGGAGTGGCGAGAATGGAAAAAAGAATGATGTGGCGTCATCGCATCTCGCTCAGGGAAGCACGCCATTTACTGTCCAGTTGGATACTATTAGGTAGGCGTTAGGGTGTGTTCCACCTTGAATATAATAGTTGTGATCCAGCAGGAGAATGGTGAGTGCTCAGGTTAAACTTTTCTGGTAAAATCTTTGAATAATATGCATGTATTAGTAGTCAGATGTGGACCCAATGAACCATTTATAAGTCACAAACTGATAGCCCTTGTGGCTTAGCGCTTCTTTTTGATTATAATAATAATATAAGTCACAAACCCAATATACAGTCCACTATATTATAATATACCAGAGTTCCTGGTATTAATTTTTTTATATGTTCAAATAATCATAGTCCCGACTTAATGTTTACCTGGAGAGAGTTCCGGGGGTCAACGCCCCCGCGGCCCGGTCTGTGACCAGGCCTCCTGGTGGATCATAGCCTGATCAACCAGGCTGTTGCTGCTGGCTGCACGCAAACCAACGTACGAGCCACAGCCCGGCTGATCAGGAACTGACTTTAGGTGCTTGTCCAGTGCCAGCTTGAAGACTGCCAGGGATCTGTTGGTAATCCCCCTTATGTGTGCTGGGAGGCAGTTGAAGTCTCGGGCCCCTGACACTTATTGTATGGTCTCTTAACGTGCTAGTGACACCCCTGCTTTTCATTGGGGGGATGGTGCATCGTCTGCCAAGTCCTTTGCTTTCGTAGCGAGTGATTTTCGTGTGCAAGTTCGGTACTAGTCCCTCTAGGATTTTCCAGGTGTATATAATCATGTATCTCTCCCTCCTGCGTTCCAGGGAATACAGGTTTAGGAACCTCAAGCGCTCCCAATAATTGAGGTGTTTTATCTCCGTTATGCGCGCCGTGAAAGTTCTCTGTACATTTTCTAGGTCGGCAATTTCACCTGCCTTGAAAGGTGCTGTTAGTGTGCAGCAATATTCCAGCCTAGATAGAACAAGTGACCTGAAGAGTGTCATCATGGGCTTGGCCTCCCTAGTTTTGAAGGTTCTCATTATCCATCCTGTCATTTTTCTAGCAGATGCGATTGATACAATGTTATGGTCCTTGAAGGTGAGATCCTCCGACATGATCACTCCCAGGTCTTTGACGTTGGTATTTTGCTCTATTTTGTGGCCAGAATTTGTTTTGTACTCTGATAAAGATTTAATTTCCTCATGTTTACCATATCTGAGTAATTGAATTTTCATCGTTGAACTTCATATTGTTTTCTGCAGCCCACTGAAAGATTTGGTTGATGTCCGCCTGGAGCTTTGCAGTGTCTGCAATGGAAGACACTGTCATGCAGATTCGGGTGTCATCTGCAAAGGAAGACACGGTGCTGTGGCTGACATCCTTGTCTATGTCGGATATGAGGATGAGGAACAAGATGGGAGCGAGTACTGTGCCTTGTGGAACAGCTTTTCACCGTAGCTGCCTCGGACTTTACTCTGTTGACGACTACTTTCTGTGTTCTGTTAGTGAGGAAATTATAGATCCATCGACCGACTTTTCCTGTTATTCCTTTAGCACGCATTTTGTGCGCTATTACGCCATGGTCACACTTGTCGAAGGCTTTTGTAAAGTCTGTATATATTACATCTGCATTCTTTTTGTCTTCTAGTGCATTTAGGACCTTGTCGTAGTGATCCAATAGTTGAGACAGACAGGAGCGGCCTGTTCTAAACCCATGTTGCCCTGGGTTGTGTAACTGATGGGTTTCTAGATGGGTGGTGATCTTGCTTCTTAGGACCTTTCAAAGATTTTTATGATATGGGATGTTAGTGCTATTGGTCTGTAGTTCTTTGCTGTTGCTTTACTGCCCCCTTTGTGGAGTGGGGCTATGTCTGTTGTTTTTAGTAACTGTGGGACGACCCCGTGTCCATGCTCCCTCTCCATAGGATGGAAAAGGCTCGTGATAGGGGGCTTCTTGCAGTTCTTGATGAACACAGAGTTCCATGAGTCTGGCCCTGGGGCAGAGTGCATGGGCATGTCATTTATCGCCTGTTCGAAGTCATTTGGCGTCAGGATAACATCGGATAGGCTTGTGTTAATCAAATTTTGTGGCCCCTCATAAAAAATTCATTTTGATCTTCGACTCTCAGTCTGGTTAGCGGCTTGCTAAAACTGAGTCGTATTGGGACTTGAGTAGCTCACTCATTTCCTTGCTGTCATCTGTGTAGGACCCATCTTGTTTAAGTAGGACCCAATACTGGACGTTGTTCTCGATTTTGATTTGGCATAGGAGAAGAAATACTTTGGGTTTCCTTCGATTTCATTTATGGCTTTTAGTTCTTCCCGCGATTCCTGACTCCTAAAGGATTCTTTTAGCTTAAGTTCGATGCTTGCTATTTCTCTGACCAGTGTCTCCCTACGCATTTCAGATATACTGACCTCTTTTAGCCTCTGTTATTCTTTTCCGTTGCCTGTAAAGGGAGCGCCTGTCTCTTTCTGTTTTACATCTACTCCTCCTTTTTCTTAGAGGAATAAGCCTTGTGCATACATCGAGTGCCACCGAGTTAATTGTTCTAGGCATAAGTTGGGGTCTGTGTTGCTTAGTATATCTTCCCAGCTTATATCGGTTAGGACTTGGTTTACTTGGTCCCACTTATGTTTTTGTTATTGAAGTTGAATTTGGTGAATGCTCCCTCGTGACTAATCTCATTATGTCGGTCTGGGGCTCCGCGCATACATGACTGAACCTCAATTATGTTGTGATCTGAGTATATTGTTTTTGATATGGTGACATTTCTTATCAGATCATCATTGTTAGTGAAGATGAGGTCTAGTGTATTCTCCAGTCTAGTAGGCTCTATTATTTGCTGGTTTAAATTGAATTTTGTGCAGAGATTTAAAAGCTCGCGTGAGTGTGAGTTTTCATCAGAGCTGCCTCCTGGTGTTATTAGTGAAGAAGTATTGTGCAGCCTAGTACGAGTCAGTGAAGAAGTGTTGTGCATGCCCGTAAGTTCTCAAAAGTCCTACTAGCTCTGCAGGTACAACCAACCTTGTGCGAGTTTGATATAAATTGTTTAGACTTTTAGAGTTTGTACTTCCGTCCTCACTAGTCAACTGCGCCCCTTCCCCCGTACATTATGTTGAGTGGAATAATTCAGGAATGTACCTGTGAACTTCATACCCGTAATTTCCCATAGTAAACTCATGGAAACCAAAATCAGGAATGGCCTATGTAAAATTGAACAGAGGGACCCTCCACATGGCAGTTATTCCACGAACCTTTACTGTGTGACCCTTGTAGGTTTAGCGCTTCTTTCTGATTATAATAGCTGTATAGCCCTTGTGGCTTAGCGCTTCTTTTTGATATTATAATAATAATAATCTGATTATAATAATCCATGAACTTTTTCTTATTTATGATTCACCATGGATGAAAATGTGAAGCTGGTTCAATAAGGCGCTGAGAAGTTTAAAAATAAAAGCCTTGAGAGTGAGTTACTGGAAGGTAAAAACAGCATGCTGGCAGGTAATATTGGCGCCTCCAGTAATTGATTCAGCTCGATGTTAAGTGTAATGTTAATTCTTTACCAGAGTTAATGTCATGGGAACTAAACTTTTTAAAACTAGTCTTGCCGAGCCTGAATCTAGATCAGCCAGTACAAGTAAAATCATTAAATTATTGTTAACTGTCTTAACCATACTTTTTACAGGAAGACACAATCATGGAGTGGAAATTTGGATTATTTTACTGGAGTGTACCTTGTGATCAGATATGCTTGAGTTATGTAGAGGATGACTTTTCCATTTGTCCAAAATGACGACATTTTCAGACTTTATGCAAAATACATAATTTTTAACCTTTCAACAAATTCGAATAAATGGGAAATAGAAAGTAATCGTCGATGATGTTATAATTACTACTACTCAGGTCATGACCAACAAGTGTAAAATTTCAACAGTATTGTCTATGTTTCCCCAGAGCTTAGTGTGCGTGTGTTTACTCACCTATTTGTGGTTGTGGGGGTCGATTCATAGCTCCTGGCCTCGCTTCTTCGATAGTGTGTGTGTGTGTGTGTGTGTGTCTTTGCAAGTTTTATAGATAATACGTGTGGAAATTTTTTCATAATTTTCCTAAATTTAGAGTGTAAGAATTTAAATAATGTAATATTATTTAAAATGTACTTGTTGATGTGACTCCGAAAATAAAAACAGGAGGTTAGGTAAGGTTCGTCAGGAAACAGGACAAATGTTTCCTGACGCGGGTCTTAGTCAGATGATGACCCGCCTTTGGAGCTTTTGGTCACTTGACCGAGGCCTTCCGCTGGCTTACCGGTCCACCCCTTTAAAAATATGGTCATTTATAACCATTGTTATTATTATAAAAACAGGAATTGCAAAATGAACCTGCACACCGACTGGGAAGTTGCTGTCGAGAAATACGGCGTAGCATAATTAATAGTGGTGTGTAATAGAGAAAAACTGGATTAATAACGTCCAATAAGTGTACCGACGTGAGTGAAAGACTATGAAATATGTGAACGTCGTGTGCATCTGTAATTGTACATTTTTTGTATTAGTACATCGGCCGTCTCCCACCAAGGCAGGGTGGCCCGAAAAAGAATTTTTTTTATCATTCACTCCATCACTGTCTCGTCAGAGGCGCGCTTACACTACAGTTATAAAGCTGCAACATCAACGCCCCTCCTTCAGAGTGTCGGCGCTGTACTTCCCATCTCCAGGATTCTAAGTCCGTCCTGCCGGTTTCCCTGAATCCCTTCATAAATGTTACCCTGCTCACACTCCAACAGCACCTCAAGTCCTAAAAACCATTTGTCTCCACTCATCAGTTACGCTCACGCATGCTTGCTGGAAATCCAAGCCCCTCGTACACAAAACCTCCTTTACCCCCCCCTCCAACTTTTCCTAGGCAGACCACCTACCCCGCCACAATCACCAGAGCTACAACTGCAGTCACCAGCACCACAACAGCCATAATCACCAGCACTTCAACTATAATCACCAGCACCACAACAGCAACAATCACTAGAACTACAACCACAATCACCAGCATCACAACAACCCAATCACAAGTACTAACCAGGGGCGGAGCGTCCATGACAGTAGAGGTAACAGTGGGAGTGGTGGTGACGCAGGAGGGTTGAGCACAGCTACTAGAGGTGCCAGGAGCTGGAGCCGTGGGCGGCGGCAGGGCAGCCATGGGCGTGCTGGTGCTTGGGGTGGTGGGCGTGGGCGTGGTGGTGGTAGTGGGCGTAGGTTTAATAGACATCTGGGCTAGTTCTGCAGTCGTCCGAGTGACGTAGTCATAGGCCTCGTTGCGCTGCTGGCTTGTTACCTGTGACCTGTGTAATTAAAGGTGTTTAGAGGCCTAATTATCTGTGACCTACCTAATTGGAGGTTATTGGAGATCTAAACTTAAGATCTAATGTAAATTTATATATGGAAGAAATCACAAACGCATGACTATAAATATGTAAAAATATCACAGTGAAAATAGGAAATAAAACCAGAGCGATTTCTTGTGCTAACACATCTTCAGAAGGATGATATATGTTTATATACACCACAAGTGTGGACTAGCGGACCAGTGGAACAGTGGACCTTTTTTTTTTTTTTTTTTTACATAAAGGCTTTTATCCTACTCTTATGTGCCTGAAGATTTTGAGAGAAAATGAGGGTGAAAGTGAGGGTGAGTGGCGAGAGTGAGGACTATAAGCGTCAGGATGAAAGTGAGTACAAGGTAAGGGTGAGAATGTGTATAAGGGTCGAGGTGAGGTTGAGGTTACCTTCTAACACGTTGCTGATGTTTCATAATATTCCTACGCTTCCTGGAGAGTCCACATAGCTCACAAGGACAGCTCTGGTAGGGGCAGTCATTCTTGTGGGCTCTCTTCTCCTTCATCACCCCGTGGTTCCTGCACATGTCACACTTCTGTAGGTGTCAACACCACAGAGTTAAACGTTATCAGTACTAGAATTATCAATGGTGTGGTGTATGCGCAGTTAGTGAGGCACATCATGGGTGTTAATATTAAATATATTAAACTAAAACTTGAATATATTTTCGCATGTATAGTTTTGCAGTCTTCACATTATGTCCTTGTATTGATATTATAATCATACGGGAGCACTAAACCCGTAGGGATTATACAGAGCCTGTGGGATGGGGGGAATAGAAGGTATTCAGACTCAGTTCAAGGAACTGAAGAGCAGATCTAATTCCCTAGATCAAGAGCCCCACACCAGCGCCAAGGAACCTCCCTTGAGAGGCTTTTGTTGATAAAGCCAGAGTAAATCAGATACTTAGTGTTCCTGTTTTCCTCCAAAGTCTTCGTTTATAACTTGAAAATGTCTTACCTGATAGCCTTTAAATGTCCAAAACTGGCTAATTACGAATAGAGCAAGTTTCTTGGAGCCATTAGAATGAGAATGTTAGTAATGTGAGTAGGTGACAATTTTTTTTTTTTTCATTTTAAATGGTGATTTTTTTTACGTTAAATTGGTCAAGTCTGCTCTTCTGACCTGCTTCATTGTAATGGCTTGCTGCGTCTTATGCAGAGGCAGGTTACCTGTAAGTTTAAACCGTGTGGATGTAGAGCTGCTCTGCTATTTGATCATTCTAGCCTAATAACAATTCCTGTCATCTTGCTAATGCACTATCCCACCATTCTAGCCTACTAACCGTCCCCTACCATCTTGTTTATACACTATTCCATCATTCTAGCCTAATAACCATCCCCTATCTTCTATCCTGGTACCTCATTTTTGTCACCTAGCTAGTACCTACCTGCTGTTTACTGGAGAGTCTTATTCCTGCACCTTCAGCGCCGTCACCGGAAGCCTCATAGACCACCACCTCCCCACCAGCAGCACTACCACCAGCAGCAGCGAGGGGCAGCAGAGCACCAGCAGTAGCAGGGCCCTCAGCAGCGTCCTCTCTCCTCCTGCTGTCCTTGAGGTGCCGCCAGAGGCGCTGCTGGTGCCGCATGATGAGGCGGCTCAGCCTCGTCAATTTACACAGCAGACACTCACAGTTCTCGAACTCACACTTGTGGTTGGTCTTACGGGAGTGTCTGGCGTGGTTCTTGCAGTAGGTGCAGTGCTGACGCCGCTTGCTGCTACTACTACTGACGCTGCTGCCGACATCGTAACCACCGCCATATTCTGTTGACAACAAGACCAGCAAAAATGTTAAGTGTTTACACCAGGTTCGTTAGGTTCAGAATGATTTTTGCGAAATTATTGCATGCACAAATTTTCGCTTGCCTTATTCGGCAAGAGGAGCATTGCTATTTCATCCAAAATTGCAAGTTTTACCTATTCGGCACTACGCGCACACACGCACGCACACACACACACACACACACACACACACACACACACACACACACACACACACACACACACACACACACACACACACACACACACACACACACACACACAAGCAAATGTAGTCCCAATTTTTAAAAAAGGAGACAGACATGAAGCACTAAACTACAGACCAGTGTCACTGACATGTATAGTATGCAAAGTCGTGGAGAAGATTATCAGGAGAAGAGTGGTGGAACACCTAGAAAGGAATTATCTCATCAACAGCAGCCAACATGGTTTCAGGGACGGGAAATCCTGTGTTCATTCTACTTGAGTTCTATGACAGGGTGACAGCAGTAAGACAAGAGAGAGAGGGGTGGGTAGATTGCATTTTCTTGGACTGTAAGAAGGCGTTTGACACAGTTCCACACAAGAGATTAGTGCAAAAACTGGAGGACCAAGCAGGGATAACAGGGAAGGCACTACAATGGATCAAGGAATACTTGTCAGGAAGACAGCAGCGAGTCATGGTACGTGGCGTGGTGTCAGAGTGGGCGCCTGTGACCAGCGGGGTCCCACAGGGGTCAGTCCTAGGACCAGTGCTGTTTCTGGTATCTGTGAACGACATGACTGAAGGAATAGACTCTGAAATGTCCATGTTTGCAGGTGACGTGAAGTTGATGAGAAGAATTCATTCGGTCGAAGACCAGGCAGAACTACAAAGGGATCTGGACAGGCTGCAGACCTGGTCCAGCAATTGGCTCCTGGAGTTCAACCCCACCAAGTGCAAAGTCATGAAGGTTGGGGAAGGGCAAAGAAGACCACAGACGGAGTACAGTCTAGGGGGCCAGAGAGTACAAATCTCACTCAAGGAAAAAGATCTTGGGGTGAGTATAACACCAAGCACATCTCCTGAGGCACACATCAACCAAATAACTGCTGCAGCATATGGGCGCCTAGCAAACCTCAGAACAGCATTCCGACATCTTAATAAGGAATCGTTCAGGACCGTGTACACCGTGTACGTTAGGCCCATATTGGAGTATGCAGCACCAGTTTGGAACCCACACGTAGCCAAGCACGTAAAGAAACTAGAGAAAGTGCAAAGGTTTTATAATGGACTTGTTTGATATGTGCTGCAAGTGGGTAGTAAATGATAAACTCCTTCGGAGGCTTCTTTGTTTATTGTTAAGTAGTGGTGGGTTACACAGGCTTGTGTGTTTGTGCCCATGGCCCTGGGCAGGGCCATTCCACGAGAGAGAGCTAGGGAGGCCTTGTGTCCTGCTGCTAGGCCGCTGTGTGAGTGAGAGTGAGGCAAGTCTGGGCATACTGAAGTGGGAAGGCCTATAGGTGGCAGCACAAGCATGGCGCGAAATATGAACTAAGCTGGCAGACAGCTTGGGCTGTCTGTGCAGACAGTACAGGCTGTCTACATACGCTCGGCCACCTACCGCGCGTCGTCCCGACGCGACAATACTGGTAGTAAAAGAAACTCGGTCTCTCTCTCCTAGGAACAGGGCACAGAACACAAAATAAAAACATGTATATACATATGGACATGGAAAAAAACTTCCTACAGGGAGGGAAGAAAAAACATGTGGGTGTGCTAAACATAGTGCTTTAATTGGATAGGAGTGAGTACACAACGGGCAGTGTGAGGGAGTGACCGCAAGCCAGTCCGTGGCCTCCCACTGACCTGGGTGAGCCTACAGAGGGCAGCACCTAAATGCCGCGAAATATGAACTAGTCAGAGCAGACGGATAGGCCGTGTGTTCTGACAGTACAGGCTGTCTACAGTTTGCAACAAGACTAGTCCCAGAGCTAAGAGGTATGTCCTACGAGGAGAGGTTAAGGGGAATCGACCTGACGACACTGGAGGACAGGAGAGATGGGGGGACATGATAACGACATACAAAATACTGAGAGGAATTGACAAGGTGGACAAAGACAGGATGTTCCAGAGATGGGACACAACAACAAGGGGACACAGTTGAAAGTTGAAGACACAGATGACTCACACGGATGTTAGGAAGTATTTCTTCAGCCACAGAGTAGTCAGGAGGTGGAATAGTTTGGGAAGCGATATAGTGGAGGCAGGATCCATACATAGCTTTAAGCAGAGGTATGATAAAGCTCACAGTTCAGGGAGAATGACCTAGTAGCGACCAGTGAAGAGGCGGGGCCAGGAGCTCGGACTCGACCCCTGCAGCCTCAACTAGGTGAGTACGCACTCCCTATAGAAGCAAAGACGAAGAATCACAGGGCAGCTAAAAGAGGCCAAATATCTGTAACACGAAGGGAGGCACTGGTCAGAGAAATAGCAAATATTGAATTTAAGCTAAATGAATCTTACAGGAGACAAGAAACGCAGGAAGGACTAAAAGCCATAAATAGTGTCCCGTAGCTCGATCACTAGCACTCTGCTCACACTGAGGTCCGGAGTTCGAATCCCCGGTACAGCTGGATAATATTAGGACGTTTCCATAAGACGTCTGCTGTCCAAGTTCACCCATCAGTATAAAATGGGTACCTCGGTGTCAGTCGACTGGTGTGGGTCGCATCCTGGGACAAAATTGACCTAATTTTCCCGAAATGCTGCTTTTCTATACAGTATGTCATTGATGTCAGCTAGGCCTTTGTCCTTGTACAGGTACTTGTAGAAATAAAGATATATTAAATTGAAAGAAGCTCAAAATATCTCTTTTTTCTTATGCCAATTCTAAGTCGAGAACAACATCCATATTGGGCCCCTACTTAGACGAGATGAGTCTTACACAGAGACTGAATTTGATAGATTCAAACTTATCTGATATTATTCTAACACCACATGACATCGAAAAGGCGATAAATGACATGCCCATGCACTCTGGCTCACGCCCAGACTCTTGGAACTCCGTGTTCATCAAGAGCTGCAAGAAGCTCTGCACTCTGGCTCACGCCCAGACTCTTGGAACTCCGTGTTCATCAAGAGCTGCAAGAAGCTCTTATCACGTGTTTTTAGCATTCTATTGAGAGGGAGTATGGACACGGGTCATCCCACAGCTGCTAAAAATAACAGACATAGCCCCACTCCACAAAGCGGGCAGTAAAGCAATAGCTGAGAACTACAGACCGATAGCGCTAACATCCCACATAATAAAATCTTTGAAAGGGTTCTAAGAATCAAGATCACCACTCATCTAGATACCCATCAGTTATACAACCCAGGGTAACATGGGTTCAGAGCAGGTCGCTTCTGCCTGTCCTAACTACTGGACTACTATGACAAGATCCTGGATGCCCTAGAAGACAGACAAAACGCAGATGTAGTATACACAGATTTTTGCGAAAGCCTTCGACAAGTGTGACCATGGTGTAATAGCGCGCAAAATGTGTGATAAAGGAATAACAGGAAAAGTTAGTAGATGGATCTATAATTTCCTAACAAATAGAACACAGAGTAGTAGTAAACAGTAAAGTCTGAGCCGGCTACTGTGAAAAGTTCTGTTCCACAAGGCGCAGTACTCGCCCCCATCTTGTTCTTCATCCTCATTTCTGACATAGAGATGTAAACCACAGCACCGTGTCTTCCTTTGCAGATGACACCCGAATTTGCATGACAGTGTACTCCATTGAAGACACTGCAGGACTCCAGGTGGACATCAACCAAATCTTTAAATGGGCCACAGACAATATGAAATTCAATGAAGAGAAATTTCGGTTACTCCAGTATGGAAAACGTGGGGAAATTAGAACTATATTGGAGGATAAAAAAAATCCAAACACACAAAAGAGTGAAAAACTAATGTAAAGGACCTGGGAGTGATAATGTCAGAGGATCTCACTTTCAAAGACCACGACATTGTATTTACCACATCTGTTAGAAAAATGACAGGATGGATAACAAGAACCTTCAAAACTAGGGATGCCAAGACCATGATGACACCCTTCAGATCACTTGTTCAATCTAGGCTGGAATATTGCTGCACACAAACAGCATCTTTCAAGGCAGGTGAAATTGCTGACTTAGAAAATGTACAGAGAACCTTCACGGCACACATAAGGACGATAAAACACTTAAATTACTGGGAACGGTTGAAGTTTCTCGACTTAAATCTTTATTTCTACAAGTATATGTACAAGGTATACAAACCTAGCTGACATCAATGACATACTACTGTACAGAAAGCCACTTGTTATGCAGAGCATTTCAGGCAGATTAGGTCAGTTTTGTCCTAGGATGCGATCCACACCAGTTAACTAACACCCAGGTACCCATTTTACTGATGGGAAACAGACAACCATTGTAAGGAAACATGCCCAGTGTTTCTACCCTCAACAGGAATCGAACCCGGATCTTACTGTGTGAAGCGAGAGCTTTAGCCACCAGACCACGGGACAGATTGTTTCAAGTTTCGACAACTCTGTTTGGAAACCAGTACTTACCTACATCCTTTTTATATCTAAATCTATCTAATTTAAAATTAATATGTCTAGGAAATCATAACTTACCTGGGAAAATAAGAGGCAGGTTCCTAGACAGGATTTAATTAATGATCCGAGTAGGGTATTGTATTAATAAGCTAAATCAGGTTGCCATTCACGGTAGAACACCTATATTCTAAACAAAAAGTGTTTGCCACAATAAAAAGTCACATTAGTTTCATCTTGCCCTTGTACCTAACATTTTTTTTCGGTAAACCCACTATTACTGGTTTACCACTGTCCTGTTAATACTGGTTCTTATTCCTTTTAAAACCCGCCTTGAAAGCGCCAGAGGAAAGGTACATGTTTTACTAATCATAACGAGCAATGTAATTTTTTAGAGTCAAATC